TGGAAAGGTATTAAGGAAGAAAAGTAGGTTTCAAAACTATATAGTACAATCCCATTTTTATGTAAAACTGTGTGTGTGTGTGTAAGTGTGTGAAAGAATATACAACAAATGTTACCAATACTTATCTCTAGGTTTTATAATAGGCTATTAGCATTGTTTCCAATAAAGGTTAATTTCTTTGAAAAGAAGGGAGTGTCGTAGCTCATATAAACAATATGAATGGATTTTTTTATTTGATGTTAAGAGGGAGGTGATATTTAGGAAAGGGTCCAGATTTTTTTAATGGTACAAAACAAAGTCACATGTAGTTTTCCTCCGACTTGTAGGCATTTTAATTGACTGTGGGTCAGAAGGAAAGATATTGCATGGCTAGAAGCCTAACCTCTGCTGTAAATAACCAGACCTTAATTAGGTAATCATGTTTGACTAGGTAGGATAGATCTCAAATCTGAAATTGGTGGGGAGAAGACCTTAAAAGGTTTGAGAAATGGGATCCCTAAAATGAATATCCCCTGAAGATGAAGACGGTAAAGTAGTTCATCTCTGGTTTAGGCTAAGCATGAACTGGCCTTCCACAAGTTTGTGACTGAAAATTGTGTTTGTTTCAGTTTTTATATATTATTTTATTCAAAATTAATGTATGCTTATTTTTTTAAAAAAACTTCAAAAAGTACAAATGTGTTAAAAGTGAAAGGCATAGACCTACTTAGGTTTCTCCCTCTGCCAGAATCCTTCAGGGGATTATCTTTTTTATCTAAGAGAATAAATCTGGGAACTAGAAGAACTATGCTAAAAGAAAACAAGGAGAACTGACTCTGGGTGGTGAGCACACAATGTGATATATAGATGATGTATTACAGAATTGTACACCTAAAACCTATGTAACTTCACTAACCATTGTCACCTCAATAAACTTTAATTAAAAAAAAAAGAAAACAGTCATTCTTTATAGTGTGATAGAATGATCACTGGGTAGGAGTCAGGAAATTTAACTTCTAGTCCCAGCTAATCCTTAGCTGTGTGATTGGGAAGAAGTTACTTTGCCCCTCTGGACATTAGTTTCTACCAATCCCAAGATGAAAAATTTGGAGTTTAAAACTATAGGATGCTAATGACTGACTTGGTAAAGCTCCCTAGTATCTCAGACATTTTTAAAAGGGTATGTATGTGTGCATGTGTGTATGTACATTGCATACATGCATTTCTGGAAAGGCTTTGTCTAACCATAAAAAAGTAATTAATGTATGAATCATGGTATTTATAATTGAGAAATAAACACTACACTTAACTGATATAGTGTTTATTTCCAAAGAATTGAATGTTTCATTTATTTCTGCTGTTTCAGTCATCCTGTTACACATGTGAGCAGAGAGTATTTCATCTATATTTACTTACTGTTATAGCTAGACTAAGTTATTATCCAATGTTAAGGGAGAATCAGTAGCATAGCTGATATCAATTCAGTTCCTAGCACAATTCTCTTGGTCTTTCCCTTAGGTTGCTTTCTTAGAGAAATGAAGTGATTTTTGATGATGGTTAAGGAAGAACATCACTATTGCAAGACAAAAGTAAAATTAGGGGCTATTCATAGAACATTTCTACCTTGTAATTTATTTGGTATTTTGGAGAGCAGCTGGCTTTTCTAACTGTATTTGGCATGGTTACTTGCTAAAAATATTACTCAGTGTTATCTGGTTTTATTATATACCTCTTGAGTTATGCTTGGAGTATGAGTATGGGAGTCACATATCTAAAGAAGCATTAGTTTGTAGTAGAATTTTATTCAGACTGGCCTATCTCCCTGCCTGCCTGGTCAGTAACTCTGAACTTTGGAGATCTACCTAGTGATTATAAACCTGTTCTATGTGGTATAGGCCAGAGAAGTCAGCTTTGATGGCAGATTTCTACACTGGTGTGGGAGATAAATATCTAGTTAACATTTTATTTTATTTATTATTCATTTTTTTAAAGATTTTATTCGGGAATTGGCAGAGGGAACAGTGCTGGGGAATCGGGAAGGGGAACAGACAAGTTGCTGTCCTTTTGTTCTTTAGTCTAGTTTTGGAGGATGTCGCTTCACTGGCCCATGTTGGTATTATCATTGCGCTCTTCCCGGGTGAGGCAGTCGCTCGCCGGCCATTGGACAGCGGCTCACAGCAACTCACTCCGGCTGCCACCACTCACAGTAGCACACGACAGCCCACTGCAGCAGGGGCTGCAGCCTACAGCGTCGCTGGCGACTCACGGCAGCCCAGCTCCAGGTCAAGCTGCTGCTCACCATCTTAGCTGTAGAGGGCAGCGTCACTGGCCCTCATGTGGGATCGGAACCAGGGCCCTGCTGCTCAGAGCTGGTGTCCCAAGCCAACTCTTAACCTACGCGCCATGCAGCCTGCCCTCTAGTTAACATTTTTAAAAACCCAAACCTGTTAGCGTCTGTGTATTCCACCAGTAGACTTTCTTGAGCCCTCTCATTTGTATGGTCTGTTAATGTTTTCTGTTTTCAACAAAAGTAATAGCAAATGCATGTCAAAATTATAAAATCTCAATTATCAGCAGTATCCATTAAGAAAATCAGTTAATTTTCTTTCATGAAATTATGAAGTAATTACTTCAGGTGTTTATTGAGGTAGCAAGATAAAAAGTTGTTTACATAATATCAAATATCAGAATATTTGGAATTAGTGTCAGCATTTATTGTTGTGCAGAAAAAAACTTGGGGTCTCATGATTTATTTATTTATTTATTTTAAATTAAAATTTATTGGGGCGACTATTGTTTTAAATTTTTCATCTTGAGTTATTCAACAGACATTTGAGTTCCTACCATTGTATTGGCCCCTATACTCGAGGTATGGTTTAAGGCAGGAGTTGGCAAACTGCAGCTCGTGAGCCACATGCGGCTGTTTGGGTACGTTCCATCTTAAAAGTTTGCTGACCACTGGAAGAGCCATTCCTGTGCCTCACAACAATTTAAAAATTATTCGAGAGCCATAAATATATTTTTACATAATCACCATTATGTGAATAATATCCTTTAAAAATTTTATAAATTATGATATTTTATTTTCATTTTTAATTTTACTTCAGAGCCACATGTACGTACCCAAAGAGCTGCATGTGGCTCGCTAGCCGCAGTTTGTTGACACCTGGCGGCTCTTCTGTCTCAAAAGTTTGCTGACCCCTGGACTAGAACATGCTTTCTAAATTGCATGTACTTTAGTGAAGGAACATAAATAATTACTTGTCAAAGGAAGGTATGGGGAGGTATTTAGCACATTAAATTTAAATTTAATTTGTGTCTAGTAATTCTTAATGCCTCCCATACATTTTAGCATAGACAAAGCCCACACTTACAAATAATTTTGTCTTTACATCTTAAACCAGGGGTCGACAAACTTTTGAGACGAAAGAGCCGCCAGGGTTCAGCAAACTGCGGTGCAAGCCTCAGGTTCTGAAGTAAAATTGAAAATGAAAATAAAACTCTGATACTTTCATTTATAAAATTTGTAACGGATATTATTCACATAATGGTGATTATGTAAAAATATATGTATGGCTCTCGAATAATTTTTAAATTGTTGTGAGGCACAGGATTGGCTCTTCCAGGAGTCGGCA